ATATATAACTATATAATATTATTATAAATAAATTAATAATATATATTATATTATACTATATTAGGTTTTTATATAATATAAATGCAATAATTTCTATTTTATTTTTATTCTATTTTCAGCTTGAATCACATCTGTTGGATCAAAGCATTTGGACAGTCAGGATTGGAGAGTGCATTACACTCTTGGGGGGAAGGGAGTGAGCAGACAAGGAAACATCAGCATGCCTCAAATGTTAGGAAAGCATCTTTCTTGTGTTTGTTTCCATGTGAGCCAGTCTATGTGAGCTTGTTTTCTCCTACTAATCCAGTTGCGCCTCGTGTCATGCTTATTAAATTAATGATCCGGATCAATTTGAAATGTTTGTTGATTTCTGATGGCCAATAGAAATTCAGTTTCACGTAGTCCTTGCCGCACTAGTTTAAGTCCAAAATATTAGATTCTCAATGTGATTTCGGAGGAAGAAAAAGAAGAAATATAAAAAAATTCTAAAGAAGGTAACTTGTAAAACTATGTGACTCTACAGCATCCATGCATTGGACTCAACTGCATTTCAAGGCTTATAAATAAGTTGCTTCCCCAACTCTTCAAGGCATCTCTCGAGCCTTAGAGCTCTTTAGAAATTTTTTAAAAAAAGGAAAATCTTTGTTTTAGTAATTCTTAGTTTAAATTTCAAAGTTTGCAATTTTAAGTTTGAATTCTTGAGGAGGAGTTCTGATTCCTGTTAAGAGATATCCGAAACATATCAGAAACTGTATCTGCCACTAGTGTTTGTACTAAAACTCTGCTTTTATTATTTTTGTTATGAAAATGTTATTTGAATTTTTTATACTGTGTTAGTTTAATTATAATTATGTTTCAAATTTAATTTTTGCTAGGGTAATGACGTAATCATATTATGAGGATTTAATTTGTGTAAACGTTATTGTGATTGGCATACTTGTGTTGACTTATTTATTTTTATACATAATGCTTTCGAAATTTCATATCAACTTTTTGAATGAACTAAGGATCAAAATGAAACTGAGAGTAGATTTTTGTAACATAGCTCTGAAATAAATACAATAAATTCAGAGATAGTATAGAGATATATCAATCTTTTCTTTTTTGTGGTCATTTTTGAATCCTTTAATCTTAACATTTTTGTAATTTAATTCACATAGAGTATAGTGAGTTTTATGAAAATGTATATTTTATATATAACTTGAGAATGAGTACATAAAACATAAGAGAATTCGACCATCAACATAATATGATCTAAAAATTACAGTAATGTTTAAATAAATTAAATTCGATTAAGATTGATGAAATCATGATTCTCAGCATATTCATAATCATTGTTTTATTCTTGCCTTGTTATTTTAGAAAATAATTTTCTTTTTTACTTTATTATTTTTAAATTTTATTGTTGTTTTAAATTTTAATTTTGTAAAATTAATCAAAATTCATCTTTTTGATTACTCAAATAAAATTGAAATTATCCAATTTTAGTACTTAATGAATATGTTATTCTCGTGAGAATGGTACGTTTAAACTCACTCTTTATTACTTCTTAGCGATATTGTTGCGATTGACACCACAACAGTGTGTTTGCCAAATAAAGGTGTTCATGTTTTTGTCGTTTAATTTTAGTGTCTCTTTTTTTGTTGTTGGCCTCCGGCGTGTGTTTGACTTTGTTTTGTAATAACAGGGGTGATTTTCTCACCTTTTAGCATTGGTTGTTTGTTTCCCATTAATGTGGAATTGTTGGTCCGGCTATAATTTTTTTTAGGTCATGATATTAATGTCTCTTCTCTGTGGGATTTAGTAATCTACCTCTTCCGAGCTCTAAATATTATTTGATGGGAGGAATTTCTTCAATTATAATTTTAAGTGTGCTCGTTGTTAGATTTTCTCTTTTTTTTAATTCTCAAGTGTGCCTCTATCCCTTTAATAGACCATTCACATTGTAATATATTGATTATTTTTTAGTTTTTGTTTAAATGCAATTTCCCTTTTAAAAAAAATATCTTACTTTTATAAATTCAACTTATGTATCATCTTTGTTCTTGTCTCTTTTTTTTCATATATATATATATATTACTTCACTTCCCAGCTCAAGGAAGCAAACTGGACCTCTTGTTGTCTGCGTCTCTTCGTTCTTCGCCTTCTGAATTCCTTCCAAATAACGAAATCACCCCCAAAAAAATTAGTAAAATAAAATAAAATAAATAATAGGAGAAAAAACCCACATGGCGTTGAAGTCCGCGAAGCTTTCCAGGTGCGACCCTTTGAACGGTATCCTTTTCCAGACTCTTGACTATTTTTTCTCGAAAGCCAATATTTTTTTCTCTTTTTCTTCTCTGCCTTCCATTAATTTCTGCTCAAAAGCAAGCGTCTTTTTTGTTACAGAATTGAGGGCCAAACTGAATAGTTTCAGTTTCCAAAGGAAGACGAAGAAGAAGAATAAGAGATTGGAAATCATGGCACAGTCATTGAAGTTGCAAGGCGTCGGCGATGAAATGCAGAAGCTTTTGGATGCCAACATGGACGAAGCTCCTGCTAGAAGGCGTGCTCGTGAGGCTTTCAAGGATATTCAGCTTGGGATTGATCATATCCTGTTCAAGGTAATCAATTTTACTCCTTTTTTTTTTTTTTAAATTCTTTTATCACGTATGGTATTGGTAATTAAATCTTATGCTGCTCATTATGTTCAATGGGTTCTTTTTTCTCACTGACTTGAAATTGGAGAGATTGTAATTGTTGTTGTTTTTTTTTTTTTTTTTTTAGAACTGGGAAAAGTTAAATTAGTAGTATTGGAAAATTTAAAAAAGCAGTTAGAAATTTTGATTAGCAATATTGAGAATTGATCGTTCATAACTCGATAATATTAATTCTTATGTCCTTGATTTTGTTGCAGACACCGACAGATGGATTGACAATGAAGGAGGTGGGGACTGTTTATTTTTGGTAAAGAACTTCTTGTTTATGTCACTACTGTTATGTGTAGGGACGTATTTCTTCCCCAGAAATTTAACCAAAGGGTGGAGCCCCTCTATTGAACTTTGGAGGAATTCTTCAGTGTTTTCTTTTTTTTTTTCTTTTTTTTTTGGGTGCAATTCCATAATTAGATAAAAAGAAAAAGCAGAAGTTTGTTATACGTCTATTTTACATTTTCTTTTCTTTTCTAATTGTGGACTTGTTTCAGCCTATTGATTTAACTGTGGGTGCTTGATATTTGAGTTTAGAAAAAGCTGCATGAGCACAATTAGTATTGTCTCAAGTATTTGTTCAACTTGTTTACATTTTTGAAGTTGCTTCAGTTTACTTATCATGCAAAGAAGAATAACGGCACATATACTGTGGTGCAGTCGTATGAGGTGAACTCTAGGGGATTGAAGATTTTCTCTAAGAGTTGGCTTCCGGAGACGTCTAGCCCCAAGGCAATAGTGTGTTTTTGTCATGGTTATGGTGACACATGCACGTTTTTCTTCGAAGGCATGTAGCTTAAGTCGAAGATTTTCAGTTGAAGATTAGTAAACTTCTGTTTTTGATTAGCCATGCTAATTGAATCTAATTATTTCATAAAAATTTCAGGAATTGCAAGGAAGTTGGCATCATATGGATTTGGAGTTTTTGCAATGGATTATCCAGGATTTGGTCTCTCTGAAGGTCTTCATTGCTTTATCCCAAGCTTTGATCAGCTTGTGGACGATGTCATTGAGCATTACTCGAAAGTCAAAGGTGATGCTTAGTCTTTTAGTGACCTGTACAAAACCTTTTTAACAATTAAGGATTAGTGCAAACACTTAATGAACAAATTCTTCCCAGAAGCAACAGTTAATTTTGAATACTCAGAGGATTTGTATTATCCTTGTAGAGTTACTTGTCAAAGATGAAAAGAAAAAGAAAAAAAGTAAGTGCGCTCAGCAATGATGCTTATGATGGGTGCTTCAAATCTGCATGCTGTAATAGGTTTTTAAAACCATTTAATAATTTGAATTTTGCTGGTCATAGGAGTTCTTGATTTAATGTGTTTAATATACTACAAAAGAGAGAAATTGGAGAACTAAGGAGATTAATCCCCTAGGTAGATAGTTCGCAATGAATCTGATAGTTTAGATATAATTTTGGCAGTCGACCTACTTGTATTTGCCTTTTGGAAAGTTTGTACTCTGTATCTCGAGTCCACCTGATTATTTGAATGTAGAAAACTTTAGAGCAATCATTTGATAGTAGTGAGGGTGCTTGTTTTGAATTGGATGTGTTCAATCAACATGCTGGAAAAAGTGAGTTTTATCTTCGATTTGTTCTTCATTGGGACTCAGAAGGGAATCATTAACATAAACAACCAATTATGGATGCACCACCTGTGGTTTCTTTTGCTTTCTTTTCTTCTTTCCAATCAGTTGTTTCTTTCAGCTGTAACCTCTTCTTTTTGTTTTTCATTTTTGAAATATATGATCTCAAAATGAATCATCAAGCTATAACAATTGACTGAAATATACCATGTTTTTCTAGGGATTTATAAGTAATTGTATAAACACAAGTTACCCTGTTTTTCTATAGCATCTCTGATCTTTGTGCTTATAAATGCTGAACGATGGCAGAGAACCCAGAGTTCCATTCTCTTCCAAGCTTCCTCTTTGGACAGTCTATGGGCGGAGCTGTGACTCTGAAGATGCACCTAAAGCAACCAAATGCATGGACTGGTGCAGTTCTTGTTGCACCGATGTGTAAAGTAATTTATGAATCACGATCAGTGTATTAAAATTGCCTTTATGAGATTTAAACTTTTGATTGACTGAAAAAGTGCTCTGTAGATTGCAGATGACATGGTTCCACCATTGCTGTTAAAGCAGATCCTGATTGGTCTTGCTAAAATTTTTCCAAAGATGAAATTAGTGCCACAAAAGGATTTGGCTGAGGCTGCATTTAGAGACTTGAAGAAGAGAGAAATGGTGTGAAGTTACCATCTGGATTTCATAGTATTACTTTCTTTCTATTTGCCTAGCTTCTAAGTAACGTTTTTCTAATCCCGTTTATGTTATCCATCCTGCTTTAGGCGCACACAATTCCTTATTAACCAGATCTTTTTTCTCTAAATACAGACAGCCTACAATGTCATTGCTTACAAGGATAAACCACGGTTACGGACTGCACTAGAAATGCTGAAAACCACACAAGAGATAGAACGTTGGTTGGAACAAGTATGGCATTTCATTTTTTTCTTTTATTACATTTTGCTTGTGTGGAATGTGGTTTTCTATATTCTGCATAGTCTTCTTGTTTGTCTTTGTCATCCATTCTGTACCATTATAAGTAGCATTCTTTATGGACTTACAAGAGGTGGCCAAAATTGGTCATGAATTTTCACTTTGAGATGTCAAGAGTATGAGATCTATCTGAATCTGCTAAAATTTCATTCATCTGTCTACAATGTTCTATTTCAATTTTGAGGAGATTTCATTGTACCTGGAAGTAATATGGAATTGTTAAGTTCTAAGGGTTTTTGCCTTTATCTTCACTGAATGTCTTTACAGGTTTCCCTGCCGTTATTAATCTTGCATGGTGAGGCAGACATTGTAACTGACGCGTCTGTGAGCAAGGCCTTGTATGACAAGGCTAGCAGTTTAGACAAGAAGCTTAACCTTTACAAGGATGCTTATCATTCGCTTCTTGAGGGTGAGCCTGATGAAATGATAATTCGAGTTTTCAACGACATTGTTTCGTGGCTTGATGAGCATAGCGCAAAAAGTGTGGGCAGCTGACTTCTTTCTCGATCTTTTTGCATGCATGGATGTGTACAGAAAAGCACATTCGCTTCAAAGTTTGCAATTGCATATACAAATCATCAAGTGTGTGACATTTGCGAGCCATATTTTTTGTATTGTTTTCTAATTTATAATCATTTTTCCGAAAAATAATTGCTGAAGCTTTTTGATAACTTGAACTTCAGCTTTGATATTGGAATAGTCAACTGATTAATAAGGTATTTGGGAAGAGTTTAGCTTCTTCGTCTTCCTTGCATTGCTTGTACAAACTCAGTTATCTTAATGATGGTTCAGGCTTGAATCAAGACAAGGTCCTTAATATCTTCAGTGTGTCTGCCAATTTTTTTTTATTTTTTATTTTTTAAAGTCATGACCTTATTGAAGGCAGCCTATGAAGATATGTACAGTTTGAACCTTTAGCTCCAATTGAGATGGAAGCATCTTTTTTGTTTTCGTGTTCGCTAATATCCATCATGTTTCTCATGGCTATGATAATCATACAATAAAGAGTTTTTGCTGCAAGTAAGACTCTCGAACATTTTCTGATAGATATGATATTTGTAATGGATGTTATGCATGTCAGAAATTGTCCCAGAAGTTTTAATCTGCATTATTTGTAAGTAATGCTTCACCGCTACCACTTGTGAAAGTGTTACTTGGGTGTCAATATTTAAATTGGTGCAGACATAAAGACACCTAGCTTGCACTGAGAGAGGACTTGTGCAGATGATATTTGAGCAACATGAAAGAAACCATGGAAGCATAATAATTGCGAGCTAGAGAAAAAAAGTTCAATAATAGTACAGACAGAAAATAAAGCATGTTTGCCAGAGATGATGGTCCACAAAGACAACTTGAGACTTCTTCCGGCAAGAAATAGAAGTATGCAGGGGTTGTTTTTTTGCATTTTTGAGTTAGGGTGATTTGAGTAATGATCTTTGGTTGAGTTTGAGTTATAATTTAAATTAAAGTTGTAACTTGAGTTTGTATTTAGATGTGCACATTTGAGCTATTATTTAAATTGAGAATCTTTTTGAGTTTGTGTTTGGGTGGGTCAAAACTTAAATTTGTATTTATATATATTTTAATAAAAATGTAATGGTGATGAAAAATTTTAATAGGGTATATGGGTGGAGTTTTATTCGTCTTTTCGTTGTGAATGCATAGAAAAAAAAATCATGTCAATCAGAATTAAAACGAAAAAATTATGGCATTTTTAATAATAGAAAAAATATTGTTTATTAACTTTGAGTTTGAGTTTATGAACTCGAGTTAAAGGGAAAATTTAAACTTGAGTTTAGCCCCAAACTCGAGTTTAAACTTGAGTTCAAATTCGAGTTCAAACTCAAATTTTACAAAAGTTGTAACTTGAATTTAAACTTTTTCTGAGTTTTGTTGCAAAAGAACAACTCTTATGTCTCAACTTCACATAGCCCAGACTCTAAAGTTTGCCTGCAAACAGAAAGAGCAATGTTATTAGGCATTGGTGGTGCTCAATATCATTCACTAATATAATATGAATTCCGCATCATAAGACTCATAAGTGTAGCTCATCTTGAGTATTATTATATTGAGACCAGCATAATAAGGTTGCAGTTCCTTTTTTTGGTATGTTTAGTCCGGTCCTTAAACTTTAAGGGGATGTTCAACAGCCCTATTTTTGAGTTAAAAACTCAAAAAAAAAAAAATAACTCAAGTTATAACTTTATTCAAGTTCATGTTCTTTTAAGTTTGAACTCGAGTTTGGGATTAAAACTCTAGTTCAAGTTTTCCCTTCAACTCGGGTCCAGAAACTCAAACTCAAATTAATGAACATGATTTTTTCTATTCTTAAAAATGCTATAACTTTTGCGTTTTAATTCTGATTGAGATAATTTTTTTTTCTATGCATTGATAACGAAAAGACGAATAAAACCACACCCATATACCCTATTAAAATTTTCCATCAGCATTGAGTTTTTATTAAAATATTATCTAAATACAAATTCAAGTTTTGACTCACTCAAACACAAACTCAAAAAGATTCTTATCTCAAATCATAACTCAAATATACACAACCAAATACAAACTCAAGTTACAACTTCAATTCAAGTTATAACTCAAACTCAACTCAAAATCTACACTCAAGTCACCTAACTCAAAAACGACAAAAGAACAGCCCCTAAGTGTGTTTGGCTGCCCATAAAACTAAAAAAAATGTAACTCGAGTTTCAACTTTATTCAAGTTCATGTTGTTTTAAGTTTGAACTCGAGTTTAGGACTAAAACTCGAGTTCAAGTGTCCCCTTCAACTCGAGTTCAGAAACTCGAACTCAAATTAATTAACAGTATTTTTTCTATTCTTAAAAATACTATAACTTTTTCGTTTTAATCCTAATTGAGATGATTTTTTTTCTATGCGTTGACAACGAAAAGACGAATAAAATCTCACCCATATACCCTATTAAAAATTTTCATCACTATTGAGTTTTTATTAAAAATACTATCTAAATACAAATTTAAGTTTTGACTCACTCAAACACAAACTCAAAAAAAGATTCTTATCTCAAACCATAACTCAAATGTACACAACCAAACACAAACTCAAGTTACAACTTCAACTCGAATTATAACTCAAATTCAACTCAAAAACTACACTCAAATCACACTCTAAAAGAACATGCCTTAAGTATAGTGAGATTTTGATATCTGAATTTTTAAAAATATATATTCTACATATTAAAGTGGGAAACTATTTGGGAGTATATCTTTTTAGGACTTTTTAGAAAAGTCCCATTTAAAAGGAAATTAAGAAAGAATTTTTAAGACCCAACCAATTGTGGTTAGTGGATCTCTTGCCTGTTCTCACATTCTCCCACTTATGAGTTATAACCCACTACTCCCCCTTTTTCCTTTAATCTGACCTATTATAGGACTCCATTTTGTCTGTGGGTCACAACTAGTTTGGTTGGATGATAAAGCAACCAAAGATCTTTCGAGCTGTATCCTTCTATCAATCTTGTCGTTTATTTCTCTATAAGTAATTAATGCCTAATTTATTTTATCATTTAAGTTTTCAATTTTAAATTTTTATAATTAAAAATTTTTAAAAAATGTAACATTTAATTTTTTTTATTTCTCTATAAGTAATTAATGCCTAATTTATTTTATCATTTAAGTTTTCAGTTTTAAATTTTTATAATTAAAAATTTTTAAAAAATATAACATTTAATTTTTTTTGTTACAGTAAAAAATTTTTAAAATATATAATATCTTAACTCAAATTAAAAATTTAAATTCACGAAGTGAACGACACTAATAAAAGGCCATGTACCTTATATCATGGATCATGGTTGGTAATCTCATATTTCGTTGACCGAACCAAGTAGTCAAGAAGTAGCTAACTGAAAGTCTCTGCACTAAAAGGAGAATGTCAAACATCCCCACGTGATCCACTGATCTAATCCCAACGTCAACTCAATTAAATCTCCATTCTGGATTTATGCCACCAATACTATGCATCCCCATTTGTAACTCATCGGTAAAGTAAGTAATTTTAACAGTTAAATTAAAATTTTAATGGTGAGATATGAAGCGTGAGTATTAAAAATTTATAACACGTTACACAAATAGATTAAACAATTAAAAAATTAATTTAACGATAAAAATACTTACTCTATTAGTAGGTCACAATTTTAAGATGCACCGTAAAAGAAGTCCACTAATAAAGAAGCAAATGACATTATTTTGAAGCGCAAAAAAATGACTTTTTCTAGTAAGCAGCTTCTGACTATTGAATCTGATCAGAATCACACTAATTAAAAAAAATATGTAAAATATATAATTTTTTATACGGATTTGATGGCTGGAAAGTAAATAACTATTGATAGTTTATTTTTTCAGTCCCAAAGAAACTCATTGCAAAAAAAGAAAAAAAGTGAAATAAATATGAAAACATAGAAAAATTTATATTGTGTTGCCTAATTTTTAATTCAACATACTATCTAGGACCATCTCTAATGCAATTGTTAATATCAATTGTATATTTGGTACTAAATAATGTGATATGATGTGTTATTTTCATTTGTATTATAATAGATGATGCTATTTCAAATGTTAAATATACTTTTTATCATAATCGTTAGACTTTAATAGCTGTAAAAATAAACTTTTAATTTTAAAATAAATTGAAAATGAAAAAATTGCAATGATTAACTGAAAAAATAAATATATCAATCAATATCAATAAAATATTAAATTTGTCATAAGTTATTTTTAGTGACAAATTCATCACAAAATATAACATATGAAAAATTTAACACAATACATGACATTACATTAAAGAGTATTTTTTACATATAAATGCTAAATTTTTATTAGCACGTAGTATTGCGTTAGAGATTCTAATATAAACTCTAACTCCAATTGTAAATATGGCCGTAGAACTTAAATAGTTTTCAATTGATTAAAAACAAAACAACAGGACTTTTCTCAAAAATTGGATTTGTTTCAACGCACTATAAATGCATTTATGATACTACTATTTAAATTACCAATTTGTCCTTAAGAACTTTTGGTAAGGGATAAAAAAATATAAAGATATGCGTAAAAATAACTTATTTAAGTTATTTTTTAGTAAATGATCGAAGTTTTATAAGATTAAGAAAATGGTTGTTTATCAGCGATAAATCATGATGATTCAATGATAAATCAATTGATTGATTTAGTGGTATATTATTGATTGACTTAGTGATTTAGTATTGATTAATTTAGATTAACTAATTTCAATTAATAATATACCTTTTTCTCATTGATAAACCATGGTATAGTGGTATACTAAGAATTGACCATTGTAGAAAACAATCATTTACCTGAAGAAAAAGTTCGACCATTTACCTAAAAAAATTCCACCATTAATTTAAGAGTTAATTTTACTTTTAGCCCCCAAGTAATATTAGTTGTCTCATTTAATCCTTTAAATTTTTAATTAACACACTCATGACACCCGAGCTTAACAAATGTTGCACTAACGGTTCTGCTGTTGCACAGAAGGAAAGTTGGTCTTCCATTTATGACATAACTATTAAAAAATGGACAATTTTTTTTAGCAATTTAGGTGCACGTGACGTGTTAGGTGGAGCTTAAAATGTTATCCTGGATACCTTTTGTCCAAATTGCTGACAAGATGTTGAAGAATGAGATTCTTCGGGCTTGTTTATTTGTATTTTAAAATGATTTAAGTTTATATTTTAATTGAATTTTATGTGTATTTGAGTATAATTTGAGTTTGTGTTTAGATGTATACATTTTGAGTTATAATTTAAATTGAGAATATATTTGAATTTGTGTTTAGATGAGTCAAAACTTAAATTTATATTTAGATAGTATTTTAATAAAATTCAATGGTGATAGAAATTTTTAATATGTTATATGTGTGAGGTTCTATTCGTCTTTTCGTTATGAACGCATAGAAAAAATAATAATCTCAATTGAAATTAAAATTCAAAAGTTATTACGTTTTTAAGAATAGAAAAAATATTATTCATTAACTTAAATTTGAGTTTAGGAACTTGAGTTGAAGAGGAAACTTGAAGATTTTAGCTCTAAACTCAAGTTAAAATTTAAGTTCAAACTTAAATTTTACAAAAAGAACATAAACTTAAATAAAATTATAACTTAAATTTAAATTTTTGTTGAGTTTGAATGCAAATAAACAAACTCTTCGTTTTTCAGTCTTATTTGAGAATTTTGCTTTTACATCAGTTAATTTAGACAACATACATCAACAACATTTTTAATTCCACCCAACACAATACATGCGTCTCAGGTGCTAATCAGTCCTTTTTTTTTTTTTTTTAACACTTCTATCACACAGATACAGTTAATGCAACATCTATTAAGCTCAAATATCATTAGTGTGACGCTTGAAAGTTTTGAAAGCAAAATAAAATGACTAATACTTTGTAGGTGTAAAAAATAAAATTAAAGGAGTTTCACCGGTAGTCTCAATTTTTAACTTGATCAAAATCACATTAAATTAGAAAAAACATGTAAAATAAATAGTTATGATATAGATCTGACGGTTAAAAAATAAGTGACTACTTATATTATGAGTTCGTTTGGTATGAAGATTCAAACCAGGGTTATTCTAATCATGATTTTAAAACCAGAACCATGATTCATGATTTTAGGTTCAAATCATGATTTTGAAACCATAATTCAGAATCAGGGATTTGAATCACCTTGAATCAAGAGAGGAGTAGTTTTAGAATCATAATTTGAGCTAGTTTAAAATATCACATCAAATTTTGAATCATGATTCAAAATCATCTAAACCAAACACTAATTCTGAATCATGATTTAAAATTACTGTAAATAAACACTGATTCTGAACCATAATTTAAAATTATAATTTTAGATCTATTTATCAAACGCACCCTATATTTTTTCAGAAACTATCAGATAAACTCCCTAAAATTAATCCTTAATTTAAAAGGGGCGGTGAGGTGGTCAAAATGCACAATCCACCTAATTTTCCTAAAAATAGTAGTACCTACAAAGGATACAAAGAAACAAACAAAGGAGCCCAAGTGGGGGGATGTGTCTTTTTCCTCTCGTTCTCTTGGCCAACTTGTAGTGCTCTCAAACGGCTCTTCCTTAGCTGTCAGTGAGTGAGTGAGTGAGTGAGTGCGCAATTACCTTCCAATTTCATTTCTCTCTCTCTCTCTAAGCTGCGTTCGTGCATGCGTGTCCTTGTTTGCAGTGCTTTGCTCTGAGTGGCCAAACCTCGCACTTATATTAACGAACTCAATAAATGAGGCATTCTTGTTGGCTTTGATTGTGGGTTTGGTTTCTTCTCTTCTTTTCGCACCCAACATGACCTTCACTTCTCGCTTTTCCCATTCTCCACTCTCCCTCCAGGTATGGATTTCGGCTTTCAAATTGTTTTTTCATTATTTCTTTCTTTCTTTCTTTCTTTTCCCCACAATACTAACTAAAATGCTCTAATATGCCGTTTAACTTTGAGTGCGATCTGAGATTTGTAGGATTTAGGTAAATTGTATTTGTCGAAATGGAAATAACAGAATTTAGAGAATTCTTTTTCAATCATACCAATTTGGATTAGTGTTAAGGGGCTGGTTTGCTTTAGTTTAAATTCATCTTGGACCCCCTAATAGCAAAATTTCAATTGACAACTTACATTTACTAAAGGTCGTTTACTAAAGGTTTCAATTAAGGGGTCATACTTATATATTAGACATAATACATAAGATGCAATGAAGGACAATTAATTAATTAACAGCAACAAAGGTGCCACCAATGGAGTGGTGCAGCGGTTAGGATGTCTTTACAGTTACTGCCTGTCTTTACATTTGACAGCGGTAACGATCTTTTGAAAAAATAGCAGTAACGAATGCGATGCTGCCGAATTCCCCTTTTTAGCTTGTCTCTAATCGAAATCAATTCGTAAACTAGTGTCTCTAGGGTAGATTTCGATCTAAGAAACTAAATTCAACTGAACTCAATTATATCTTGAAAAAAATGAAGTTGTAGTCTGTTTCTAAAAAAGCTCGCTTATGTTGGTTTACTTGAGAAGTCTGATAGTTTGGAGACAAATTGCAATATTAATGCCATAACATAGTCTCTCTCTCTAATACACACACACATATAGAGATACTATAGCTATGTTTGGTATGAGCGAAATAAAATAGAAATGGAAAAAAGCTAAATATTCTAGTGAGGAAAATGGAGATGAGAGGGAAGATCTCTCTCTTACTGTGTTTGATATGGATTCTTTCCATTCTCTCCTCTTTTCTCCCATAACAAACAACCATGCGTATCCAAATCGTCCACTAATCCCTTCATCCTTGTCCTTCGTTTAACAACCTCTAAGAATCTACAGTCATGGCTTGCCCGTTTGCGAGACCTTCATGGAGAAAGTTACTGTTTTAGATCGACATGGGATATATATAAGGAGGGAAATGTAAGATCTTTAAATCATCACCACCTAACTCAAACATTTGGTTTCCTTTTGCATTAGATTCACGTAGTAAGTTGGTATGCTCTTCTGATATCGGGATGTCTTATCATATTTGATGTTTGATTTTTTATAGATTGACCTCTTCGGGAAGCGTATAAGACCTTGGCATAATGATAGAACAGATCAAAGATTCACTCTTTCACTCCGAAGTAATAACACTGAACTCTTTGGCCAACAAGTTGTGACAGAAGGGGCTCACTTACAGCGAGACTGGAATTTTATTGGAGGATCAAGAGTTATATTTAGACCTAAACTTAAAAGATTTGTTCCATCTGAAAAAGCCTTTGGAATTAACGCATCATGTGATCCTTCTTGCCTTTTCTACTACATTTTTTGCAATTTAAGTTGGTGTGAAATACATAGTTGCGTGACTGAAAATACCATCCTACATTAGGAATCAAGTCTTTGTGCTTAGCCTTTTGGTCTTCTACGTTTAATGGAGAGAATCATTGATCAGATGCATATTGCAATGACAACATAAACAAGTAATCGCCTATGATGTAGTCAATTGGTTTTCTTCTGAAAATGCCCCGTTGGATTGATCTGCTACTTAGGGAGCATTTTCACTTTCACGGTCTCCCTGCAGTCTCTTTCCCATATTTTCCACTGGAAATTTTTGGAATTTTTGGAAGCATACAGATGAAACTCACTTTTGATTTTTCAATCTTGCTGAGATTCATGCTCAGATTCCTCCTAAATAATTTAAGCTTTTTCTTTTTGAATCCTCACTTTAGTTTAAATTGTTCCATTATTGGTCAAATAATCTCGTTATACTTCATATCATGCAGTTGATAGTACAGCTCCGTTACATTGTTTTCTACCATTCTACTTGTCAAGGAACATAGCTAGAAAACTTTGTTACAATGACCTGTTAGTGCCTCGTTTAGCCTGCAAAATCAAGTGCTGCCAAGCTATTCTTAAAATAATTGGTGGTATCTTGTTTGTATTGTTGATACATTCTGTGTCTACATTTTAGAAAAGGAAAGGCCAAAGGGATCCATCTTATTATTATTATTTTTTATTTTTCATTGCTTCATACTTTCTGATTCATTTTAGTGAATCTTTTTTCAGTGCTTAATTTTTTTTAATCTTCTTATCTTTTCCTACAACTTCCCTCCTGTAGGGTGGGAATCGTAGCTTGCTTTGAAATGCACATAAGAATGATAAAATTATGCTTATGAATCCCCTCATTGTTGTTTCACCACATTGATAATTAGCCATTACTTTTTGTGGCCTGTTTTCCACTTTTCTACTGATAATACGCTCTTTCCAAATAAACGCTTGTCTCTTTCTTTTGTAGGGATGGCAAGTTCTCAAATTGCTAGTAGTGTTTTTGGTTTGGGAACAGTAGCAGTTCTCCCATTTTATGCCCTCATGGTTTTTGCTCCTAAGTCTGAATTAGTAAGTTAAACATAGAATTATGCTTCTCAATCAATTATGCAGAAAATTTTCAAATTTTTTTTTTAATTGTTTTCAGTTAAAAATCACTTTTTAAAATGCATTCCATAACCTACTTGAATTCGTTGTTATATGGTTAATGTTTTCTGTATTAGGCCCCTTGATTTTATAATTGAGGCTCTATTGAGTCATTTCTTTTAAAGCCTAATCACAGTATTGAGTTAAGAGTGTTTTCCTGCTAATCTTTGGACCCGTGATGATACTTCCATGCCCTACTTAAAAGCATGCACGTAATTGTTCTTTCTCATGTGAATTGCAGACCAAAATATCCATGCAAAGTAATATACCATATGTTGGGCTCGGGCTTCTTTACGGATATCTACTATACCTTTCGTGGACACCAGAAACGCTGCGGTTGATTTTTGCAAGCAAATACTTATTGCCAGAGGTGCGTGCTTGAAGAAGCATAAACAGGTCGAACTGTTTCTCTAGCTTACGAAGTTGAAAAAGAAAATTCTTATCCAGCAATTTCTTCCCTGCCCTTCGTAACATGTGCAGCTACCAGGTATGGCAAAAATGTTTTCCAGTGAGATGACATTGGCTTCTGCGTGGATTCACTTGTTGGTTGTAGATCTCTTTGCCGCGAGGTATACCTTTGTGTTTCTGTTTTGTAAGTATTTGTGTTTATGCTCTTTTCTGTGCAAGACAAAGTTCTAACTGTCACTGTAATTCACTCAGGCAGGTTTTTCACGATGGACAGGAAAACCAGATAGAAACCAGGCACTCAGTTTCTCTTTGCCTTCTCTTTTGTCCCATTGGAATTATGGCTCATTTCATCACCAAAGCCTTTACCAGAAGCGGCGCTGGGAGTTCCAGCCGGCACGGCATGCATTGATGAATTCGCTTGATGTCGAAAAAATCTAACAGAAAATCTGGAGGAAATTGAAGAAAGAGACTGAAAACTATTTGGCATATTTCTTTTTTTTTTTTTCTCTCTCAGCAAGTGAATGAGAAATTTATTAGTATGCGCTTTTTGTCTTCTTCCTTCGCACGCACTCAGCCTCTTATTTTTCTTTCATCAAATGTTATTTACACAGCAGTGACAGATCTGGTTGACAGAAATTGAGGCTTTATTCAATACTACAATTTGAACTACACTAAATTAAGAATCAGATCTCCATAGTGTTTTAGTTTTTCCCCTGGGATGAACATATAAAACTTCTTCCTTGAGTTGTACACCAAATTTCGTGTCAACTTTTTCCTTGGCAATGGCAATGAGGCTGAGCATATCTTGAGAAGTTGAGCCACCACAGTTTATGAAGAAGTTGGAGTGGACTTTGGATATCATTGCACCTCCCACTCTTAATCCTTTCAGTCCAGCCTTTTCAATTAACTCTGCCGCTGAAACACCCAAATCTGATGGATTTCTAAATACTGATCCCGCACTTCTTTCCCCGATCGGTTGAGATGCTTTTCTTCTGTACATCAAAACCAGCAAAATGTAGATCTTGGTGAGACTACAGTGCATTTTTTTTCCCTAAAATTCGGAGAAATATTGAGATGAAACTCTTAATTGTTAGTCTTTCTATATGATTACCTCTCTAGATATTCTTGCAACCTTGTCTTTGACGTCCCTGAGCTCCGCAGCCAAAATGTAACAGCAACAATGGCTGCCAAGTCTGGCATGCTCTGGAATGGGGATGAACGGTAGACGAAGTTGAGATCAGGTCTTTCAAGTCTTTGTAACCTTCCATCAATGGTAACAAAATCAACACTCTCAACTACATCGGCAGTCTCCTAAAAATGTGAAAAGCAATCAGTGCCTGATTAAGGAATTCTTGGAAGCAATGCTATTCATTCCTCACTTGCCTGTTGATGGAATTGGATGGGACAATATTGACGACAATAATCAAAGCTCAAAGTTTAAGGAGAATACTACAGTATTATACATTTCTAATCGCTAAACCATATTTGGATCAAGTTTTACTTTATTTTATTTTATTTTATTTTATTTTTACACTGATGCACTCTTGAACTCATCAAAATTTGGCACTTGGACCCCTAAACTTCAGGGCTTGATAAATGAGACTTTAGATTCAAATATGTTGCAGTTTTAATCCAATAGTTATAAGTTTGGCACTTGGACCCCTAAACTTCAAATTTTGATAAACGAAACTAGAGATTCAAATGTTTTGCAATTTTAATCCAATATTTAATCGCCGTCAATTAACAGAAGAAAATGCCTCTATTTTTGTACAAATGTACTCAAAATTTTCCGTTAATTTGCAAGTTGAACCTGATAATCGTTATTATCACATTCTTTTTACTTTTTGACATTTGAGACCCTAATTATCATCCGTCACTTATTGGTTTGTACTGTAAAAAATATCAAAATTTAAGGTCTAAAATGCCAGGGAAAAAAGAAAAGAAAAGATTTATGGTGCATTGGAGTGATTTACATTAAAAGGCTAAAATCAACCAACCTTTTTATGTGTACCGGAGACAAATTCTATCTTTGACATTAGTACACACTAACTAGTCATAATTACCTGCCCATTCGCACCAGCATTCATATAAATTGCTCCACCTACAGTCCCAGGAATTCCTCCAGCAAACTCAAGCCCTGTGAATCCTTCATTGGAACATTGCACTCCCAAACGGTTAAACCCGAAACCACTTCCAACTTTGTAGACGCCATCTTCCTTCTCTCTCCTCTCCACGAACTCAATCCGGTTCAGAATCACACAGCCATCAAAACCCAAATCACAAAACAAACAATTTGAGCCTTTACCAATCACAAGGAACCGCAAAGAATGCTCATTGCAGTATCTACAAAACCCATTTTCAAACTTCACAAAACGACCCATTTTCAATGAAATAACTTTGAAAACCCATTTACCAAATTCACATAATAAGTGGAACAAAGAAAAAAAGCAAACCTGATAGCAGAAACGAGCTGGGTGTGATCGAAAACTTGAGTGAAATAGTTGCAAGGGCCACCGATGCCCCAAGTGCCGAGATCCTTCAAGAGCTTCTGGCCGCGAATGAGTTTGAAATCGTTTTGTCCTTGTTTGGTGGAACTGTAGCTATATTTGCAATTGCACAGAAAAAGGTCTCCGTTTCGTGGCGAATGTAGTACAAGTGAACAAGCTTTGTAACAGAGAGGGATCGCCATAGAAGTAGGGAAGTGATCTTCGTAAAAAGACTGTCTAGATACAGCTCATTACTTTGAAAATAGAGATTTTCGTATTTCTTGCTTATGGAAATTTTGAAAAAAAAGTTCATTTCATCAATAGTATTTATTTCTCTTTTTACAATTAGTTTCCGTAGTCAATTTATTTTATTTATTTTATGAGTAGTATTCTCATTAAATTTTAGATGAAAACTAACTTTATTTGATAAAAAGTTTTTAAATTATTTTGTCTCTTTAAAAATAATTTATTTATTAATATGTTTACCTACACGTAATCGGAATGAGCATAAATCGGAGTGGGCAGAATTCGTAGTGGGTAGGATTCGGAGTGAGGAATCAGAGTCAAAATAAGTTGTTTACTTAGTGATAAGATTCAGAATCGGAGTCATTCCAAATCTCATTTATACGTTTACTTACACCTAGAATTGAAATGAAAAAGTGTAAAAGTACTAATTTACCCTTTAAATCAATTTGATATTTTCAATTTAAAAAATATAGTGTACTTATTATATTAAAATTAATCATAATTAAAATATTTAGTGTAATAATTGGTACTAAAATAATAAATTTAAATTGTACAACTATTTAAAATATAAAAATAAATTTTAAATAAAATAAATAAAAATATAAAATAGTGTTAAAAAATAAAATATATTATTAATTTATTAAAAATAAAGTACATATTTATTATATTAAAGTTAACAATAATTATGCTAATATTATAATATTAGGCAAATAAAATAATAAATATATGTTGCATTTATTATTATTTTTAATTTTATTTTTAATTGTGTATTTATAAGTAACATAATGGTATAATAGTAAATTAATATTAATATTAGAAATGAGAGTCTCAATCCCAAGGGGGCATGGGAGTGCCAATCTCATTCCTCAATCCCAAATTTGAGTGGGGCCCACCAATCTCACTAATCTCACTCTCATTCCAGGATAAAAAAGAGCAAGTAAACATGGAATTGACTCCCATTTCCCACTCCCATTCTTCAATCCTGATAAGTAAACATGCCAAAAGTTATACTAAATTTAATCTCTACATTTAAAAAAATATATTAAAATTAAATCATTTTAAATAAGTAGATAGAAAACATTGGATATAAGATGTACCAAATTTAGTTCCTAAAATAAAAATATTAAAAATAATTTTTTTTACTTGCATTTTTTACCGTGAGACTTAAAAGAAAAAAAAAAGCTCATCGGTGGAACCTCCACTCTTAACCATTGAATTACTTTTCAACAGTTAGATCTATAACAGGAGCGGTTATGTGTAGCGCGTCGTAAAGTTTTAATACGAACTTGTACAGATCTAATCATTGAAAAATTAATTTAACAGTTAAAAGTGAGAGTTCTACCGGTAGTTTTTTTTTTTTAAGAGTTCCGTCATAGAGGTTGCCTTTGCTCCTACGCATATTTGACTTTTTTTAATTTATTTATTAACATGTGTGACTTTGATATTTTTTTGAGTGGTTATAATTGTCCCACCCTTAATAAATGTTCCCATATTATTATTATCTGACAATTGTAACTTTAACGACGTATATTTTCATAAATATTTTATGTATTATACCCATTTAAACCATTTTATCTCTTATGTATCTGATATTTTATTTTTTGTTAAAAACAAAGTTCTATAAATCTTTCACACCAAATTAAGGAGAAAAGGTTACCTAAAAAAAAGAGTAAAAAGCAATTAACTGCAAACCACAATCCACAATACAACAAAATGTATCACATGATTATTTCATAACATTATTTTATCTACTATAAAAAAAATATTATTATTTATATTGCGTTATTTAGAATTTAATGAGTTCAATAGAATCACTTTTCTTTTTTAGTGACTAAGTTTAGTACAACTTTCATATTTAAAGTGCTCTTACATCCATTTATTAAAAAATGAAGTAATTTTGGTTTTTTTTTTTTAAGTTTAGGGATTAAATTTAGTAAAGAGAAAATAGTTTAGTGACCTTTAATGAAATAAAGTTAACGGTTTTTATCTAAAATTTAAGAAATGGACTATTTATGAGAAACTTATTGAGTTTAGCAACTCATAAGATAAATTGACAACATGAACTAATTGTAGAATGATAAAAAAGTTGAGGGACTTTTCATAAATTTAACTCTTTGAAAAATATTTTGGGCAGAAAAACATGGGTGTAAGCATCATCACTAATAGCATGTAGGTTTATTTATTATTAATAAGTGGTGTGAAGTACTAATACTATGAGACTCATCTTTTATTAATTGTTGGTGTAAAGGGATATTAATAAAGAATGAGAAATAAAAATTCAGACTCATATACTTTTAAAGTAAATTATGTAATTTTCTCAACTTTTTTTTAATATATGCCGGTGAAAACATCATTCGTATGTGTATATAGCACCCAATCTACTTTAGTGTAATATAATCCAATACATATATCATTAATTGTTAACATATAAAAAAGTTACATGTAAAATAAACAATGTTACACTTTGATATGAAAAAAATTACATTCACTAGACTGGTCCGGATGTCTACTCTTAAAACTTTACCCTATATATATATATATATATATATATATATATATACACACACACACACACATATATATATATATAATGCAATTGATGATATATATTCATTTAAAACGCAGTTTATGATACATTTTGATTTAAGTACACAAGTGGCCCTCCTTTTGATAAATTTCAACTCAATATTAAATCTCTAATGTAATTGCTTCTCTCTTTCTTAGATTTGGAGCCTTCATTGCATTACTTTCGTTGTACTTTTTTACTTCCTGTAATAACCTCTCTGTTTTTTTTAATATTAATAAAACCTGCAAGACTGTAATCATTGTTCTAAATGACAATAAACAAGAGAAGAAAGACATTTTATTGGACAAAAAGACAAACTCTACAACAATAGTTACCATTAATCAAAAGGTGCAGGTTATGAACAAAATTTGTTAGAAAAAGAATCTCGTCATAGAACTCCACTACAGGTTGGTACTAGTATGTTTCTTCAGCAGACGTTGAACAATGAGTTAAAAAATTCTCGCAGTTCCATTCAATCGGTGATCAAGAATTCGCCAAGGAATCACCAATGATCGACTTTTCCTTTCCCGTATTTATGATTACAAACATCCTGTGAAAGAACCAAGTGATGTACATGGTGAATCCATAATAACTGCACAAGAAAAGAAAGTTCAATCAGTAATTGGGGGAAAAAATCATAATCTTCTTCCGTTCCAATAGAAGCAAAGAGGACCTCGCCGCATTTTCAATGTGGTTAAATTACTTAACTACAGAATTGACCGTGTTTAGAATTGATCCCATTTTTATTTTTCACGTTTTTTGAGAAAGAAAAAATGAAAACATTTTTAAAAACGGCGTTTGGCGCAATAAAGACAAAAAACAGAAATGAAAACGATTTTTTGATTTAGTGTAAAATGAGAGAAATGAAAAACGACTTTTAATCGTTTTTCATTTTCTCCTCTCTCGAGCAGAGAGAGAGAAAGAGAGACATTAATGAGTTTTTTTACACTGAAAATAATCTCTTGATAAAACTACCAAACACATTTTTAAAAATGATTTCTGTCTGAGATTGAAAACGTTTTCATTTTCATTTTTATACAAAAAATAAAATCATTTTAGAACGAATTCCAAACGCGCCCAATGATTCACCTTTACTCGTAGAACCTCCCAACTGTCCCACTCCTCTTAGTTCTAGTTTTTTATTCAAGGGCACAGACCTCTCATTCAATCAAGACTTCTCACTGATACTCTCATTCAATCAAGACTTCTCTCTAATCAGTATAAACACCTCTCTTTTATTTTCAAAATGACAGAACCCCAAAGTCGTAATAATTCGTAAACTTCTGCAATTCTGCCATCAACTTTTGCCGGGAAGACGTTTAATTCTCTCCTGCGTTTGAAATTACATGTACATTGTTCACTTGCCCGAACAACTTCTTTTTGTTTTTTTTTTTGGCTTAAAATTAAAAGGTCCAACATTTTCAATTCTAAAATGGGTAATTACCACATTATGTTGATAATATTTGGAATTTGGATGCAACAAATAGATAAAACCTTGTATCATAGAGTAAACATACTTCAAGTTGGAAGTGAAGACATCTGAATTGGGTCCTCCAAAATTCCATTTGATATATCTGAAGTTTGAGAAGAATCTCTTCTCGTACGTTCCAGAGAGGTTGCCTCATATATTCCTACAAAATGTCGTTCAAATATTTGTAGAGCAGACATAAGAAATTAGTTATTGAGAAGGAAAAAAAAAAAAAAGGAGATATCCTTGCAACCGAATAAGATGAGATATAATTCATTTCATGTTAGATGCATCTCATATGAAACTCATAATAAGCACTCCTCTACACCAACAAATAATATTTCATGTTTTAGCTCAGTTTTGTGGAACATGACAAGACTTGTTAGTTGGTTAAGGGAATTAGTAAGTTTGTTAGCAGTTAGTTTTAGTGGAAATAGTACTATAAAGAACATCTTTCTTGTTAATCTCCGTGTATGAGAAATCAGCGTCTTATCAGAATATAAGACTGACGTGGATGACGATAAAATTTGCCCATGATCCAGAAAGCAACACAACAGTAATAGAATCTGTAAAATGTTATAAACATACCAACGCCCAAAATGAAACAGCAAATTAGGAACCCTGCCAGAGAGAAGTCCATTTTATAAATTATCTCCATCACAATTATACATCCTCCAGCAACCATTAAATGCCTTGGAGAAGAGAACACCACGTGTAATCTACAAACAATAAGAGAAAATCAGACAACATACAACTTGCAAAAGGTGTTTTTCTATCTACAATAAGAGTTTTGAAACGTTCTACCATATAAATGTGAAGCAAAATAAGAAAGACATTAAACGTGGAAGCACAATTTATCTTAATTGTTATTGCTATTATCAAGCCTTTCTAAGAAAGACAGTAAACAGAGACCGAGGGAAAGAGAAACACAGAACCAGATACAAAGGGGAGGGAGGAGGGAAATGGAGTAATGATGACAACAGAGTAGGTTAAGAAGAAAAGAAAACTATTTTAAGAAGCATATACATGAAATTAGTATAATTTTTTAACAAATTAATCCAAACTAAAGCATATGAAAGATGAGCAAAAAACAATAATTTAATTGGGCACTAATGTAACTGAAAGATGAGCAAAAAACAATAAGTTAGTGGGGCACTAATGTAACTAATTTAACTTTTTCCTCCTCCTCAATAACAAACTTATGTAAGTCTTCAAGTCGATAATTAATCCAATAACTAATCTTGAAGTCACATATTCAGCAAAAAAAAAAAAAAAAAAAAAAAAAAAAAAAAAAAAAAAAAAAAAAAATAGAAAACAAAAATAAACAAAAAAAAAAAAAAAAAAAAAAAAAAAAAAAAAAAAAAAAAACTCTTATACGTGCAAAAATGTTAAATTTCCATAACCTTTTCTTTGCTCCCAGTTTAGTCTTGTGGTAGCTAAATTATTAGCTTAAAAGCAACATCAGTAGATAAAGGTATAGAAACCAAAAGATTGGGTCAATAGCATCAGCAGATCGCTTTTATGTGGAAAAAAGTCATTCTCGATCTGTTGAACCCCACAAAACAATGGAAAAGGAAAGGAAAAAAAAAAAAAGAAAGAAAAAAATTTCGAAGGATATCATGCTTGTGCGTGACTTATTTGAAGTAATTAACCCAAGACCAAGAGTTCAAAGTGTAGGCACCACAACAAAACATCTAAAAGTACTATGCCAAGTTGCCAACACTGACATTTGTTCTTCAAAAGTAGAGAAACTACAAATTTTGTTGTCAAATAGATTGAAAAAAGAACAACAGATTAGGATGACTATGACTAGCCCATGGAGTAAGATTAATAAACATTTTATGCTAGAATGTCCAAAACAAGAAAGAACATTAACCAAGCATGTAAATACATGGCAGAAGGATGTTTGTTTCTTGTATTCGTCCCTGATTCTGAATCATAATTCATGATTTTCTACAGTATTTTTCTCTCACAAAAAACACACGTAAAACGAGAATGATTCTGAATCATGGTTCTGAATCCATAAACCAAACGTCCATGCATTTCTACATAGAACGGTGTAAGATTAATAAACATTAAATAATAGCCCATGGTCAGCGCAGGCTCATAAATTTGCATGAGATACCTCTCCTCTGCAATGCTGTCAATGTAGAATATGAAGATAACTCCAAAAAGAACGGTGCTTGAGAAAGCCCAAACAGAGAAAGGCATCTTCTCACTGCTACTTGAAGGTGATCCCTACGTGCTCCAACAGAAAGAATGAAATAAATTATAAAGAAAAAAGACAGACGGAACATGAAGAAACACTAACAAAAATAGATGTTAAACACGCAACCATAGAATCAACTGGAATGATTCTTGAAATGGTAAAATTATGGGAACTGACACAGCATCCAAATATCATATTTTCTAACTTACAATAATCATGTCCCACATGGCCACAGGAAACAGGAAACACGTTGCAGAAGCAATAGTTATAGCATGGAGTCTCCTTTTAAGTTGATTCTGGAAGCACACCATAGCTACCGTGAGTAAGCAAAGATTTATAGTTGTTCCTACTAATTGAAAAACGTTAAACAACTTGGGGAGTTCAGCTCATTAATGCATGTAAAAGATAACTGCAAATCTTAATATAGATGAACATTAACAACACCTTGAGTGAAACACGTCGTGCAATCACCCTTCTCAGGGCTGATAAGACTCCAGCAAGGATTGGAACAGCCATCTCTGTCATGCCCAAAACTTCCTCAGTCTGAACCTCAATATCAGCAGGACTATCCTTAAATGGTATTTCAAGTTAAGTTCACACAAGAAACTCAAGAATGTAGTCATTTTTCACCAATAACAAAAGGGTGGAGGAAGGAAGAGGATACATGATGATGAAACCTAATAAACTTGACTAATCACAAAAGTGTACTAATATGGATATTTTTCAATGAAAATAAAGGAGTTAACGAAGAAAGAGCATAGATGATTTTTGAGAATAAAGGTTCCAAAATAAGAAAGGATATTGAATGGAGAATATGTTGCCATGGCCCATCCTTGAGATAAGAAGTAGAAAGATGTCAACATTGCAACAAGCCCACCTATCTGGTAAAAGAAAATAAAAAACCTAAGTGAGTGAAGAGGAGTGTTTTCCAATTACATCATATTGATCATGTCACCAGAGTATATCTTGCACTTCAAATTTTTTTTCACAAATATTCAACTAATGCGAAAATAAGAAAATGAATTCGCAGCTGCCACTGTGGTCCAGTTATTACTCGAGAAACATTTTACATAGCTGGAAACCAAGACTCTGGCATCAATATTACACAGTACAAATGACTTGAGAAAAACAGGCATGTAATTTGGCCTGTGCTACAAAAAAAAGCTCGGCTAAAAATTGCTCAACTCAAGGGTAATGGTACTCAACTGCCGTGAAGTAAATAGTCTAAGAAAGTCAAATCACAGAAGCAACGTGGATATTGAATAGAAGAACTACCTTTTTCCATATTTGGCCCCTCCTCCCATATAATACTGCAGATAATACTCCAAGAACAGCACCAGAATACTCTGCTAATATAGCTCTAATGTGAAATGGAAAAATATGAGTGGAGTTAGTTCCTGATAAGTAGTGACATGAACCGATAAGAACTCATATACTAATAACATGCTTAAAATTTCCTCTTGTCAGAGGTGCAATGTTAGTTGAAAAACTAGCTGGGATATTCTTCTGTTATAAGCTAAAAATAAACACTTCAGGCATACTAATTTGTTTACCACCTCAAAATTTAAGTGACACTAGAAATTGATTACGCAATAATATACAATAATAAACTAGGGTAATTATGCGGCAATTGATCAGGGACTTGTATCGATATGGCCATAAGAATAGAAACATTAAAATGTTGAAAATGGTCATATTAAAAGTCTTTTAAGCGGAGCCTACCTAAGAGGTCCACAAGATCTGAGGCCTTTTCCCCACAGAATGAAGTATAAAGCTGTTATTCCACCATTGATTATCGAAGGAACTACCTGAAAGAGAACCACAAATGCTAAAGAAATGAACACACACATACATACATAATTACATATAAAAAGAACAATCATAGTAATTTCTTTTACTGTTTTCATGTGTTTTATAATAAAGGAAACAAATTTTAAGCAACCTGTACATTGGAGAGCGGCCTGCCCTTCCAAGGCTTTTGCAATACTAAAAACAGGATGGATGCTGGGACTAGACAAGTGAAGAGAAAAAGAACAACAGAAGCGCCTGTCTGCGATAAGTATCGGTAGAGGGAGTAAATTGACCAGATTCTCATGAAGTTTCCAACAATATGGATAACTTGCAAGGGAGTGTGCCTGCATTATGACAAGGTCATTGCAATCGTTAGTCACCGTTAAAAAGAACAGAAATTAAAGAACAAATGAATTACTAGGGAAAAAAAAAGAAAAGAAAGAAATAAAACTTTACGCTTACGTATTCACATGTAAGTTAGTGTACTTTGCAGTGGTTAATAAGCTCTAATATTGTTTTCTCCTCTGTTTACCATTCTTAAAGAAAGAGAAAATGGAAGAATTTATTCCATTCCATTAAATGATATTGTAAAACAACAAGCTAAAGAAGCTCGAAGCCACAACGGCGACCATGAGACAGGCCAAACTTGAACACTATAAAATGCCAAAAAGAACCCAGTTCCTAGTCAACTAAAAAAAATTAAAAAAAATAAAATAATAAGTTTGCTCGATGCTAGACCAAATATCTACCATGTCTTCCTCCAACCTTCTTCCATAGTCCCCAAATGTCTAAGGGCCTGTTCTTTTTGTAGGTTTGAACAGAAAATCTATCAAAAATTCAAATTTTTATGAGAAAAAATACTGCAGGTTTTAAATTGTGGTTCGAACGTACAGAAAGAGCAGGCGTTAAATATGCGTTACTAGTTATTACAAGGAAAATCAGTGCCTAATCTGCATTTACAAAATTGGAACTCCGCAAAAATCCAACTCTTATAGTTATTTCTACGCCGGCTAGCGTGCTTAGGCAAACACATAATTGAAATTTTACAATTGCAAAAACAGGTTAGTAACCAAAACATGGAGACCTGTTAACTTAATCAGCCCTCAAACCAAGATATAATCATCATTTAAGTCAGCCAACTTTAAAAAGTCATTAAAAAAAATGAAGGACTCAAAATCAATGGCTAAAGCATTAAGCCTAATGAGAAATGATCAATATTTTACCAAATAACCTCTTTGGTTTTCACTCAGTCAACAATAATTAACATTTGACTGAAGTAATTTTTCCGTCAACATTTAACAAGGTTGTTTTTAGAATTGTACCTTCTATTCCCACTCAATTCCCAAAAGGTTTCTCGGGAACCAAACAAAGCCTGAAGCTTATACAACAACGGAAAAAAAATACAAATTGAGAAATGAAAAGATTTAATAGAAATACCTGAAATGCGGAGAAGATCTTCGATCTTCAGGCATTTGCCCCGGAGGCATCATTTTGGAAACTTAATCGATAGATAAACGGAATCGATCTTGTTTCGTTGCGGAAAACAAACCACTTAATCCAAGAGGTTTAAAGCACTTATGAAAATAATAACTGATTACGAGCTTCTCTACTTCATTACCGATTTATCAAAAAGCTTCGTTCGATTTCTTGGGAGCGAAGAAGCACACAGCATAACTTAGAAATTCTCAAGCTTCTTTCCCAAGCTCGATTTCATCACCGCGGTTATTGAAGACCGGGCCTGTGTATGAAGGAACGAGCCCGATGAAAACTAAGATAGCGGTTCGGCCCAGGTTGTAATGGGCTCGCTCTCTTGTTTACCGGTGAAAAGTCCTACTAAAGCCCAAGCCCCAGACTTCAGGAAATAGATATAGTGGGGACACTAGCCCCATATGTACTTCAAAACCAAAACTGAGGCTCCTTTCGTAGGAGAAATAGAGAGTAAGAAAGATAAAAAAATCAGAATGATTGAGAATACGAGGATGAAAAGAATTGTGGTAATTCTTTGCAGGGAGAAAGAAAAAAATATGTCAAGATTTGATATTGATTAAAATTAATAGGTCAATAGTTTATATAAGTTAATAAATAGGCTAAATTATTATTTTCGTCCATAACTTGTCTGGTTATGAACCATAACTTGACAAGTTATTGTCCATAATTGTCCATAACTTGTCTGACTATGAACTATAACTTGACAAGTTAGTCCATAACTTATCTGGTTATAAACCATAATTTGATAAATTATGACCTATTAATTTCTATAACTAAAAATTGGCATATATACTTTCTTAAGCTTTTCATATTGGCATATTTTCTACTATTTTCCTTTTTTATATTGTTCGGTATGAATAAGAGAGAGTCAAAAGGATAGATAATGATTATTTGTCTAATTATTTTACTATCTATTTTATTATTAAGTAATAATTTTTTTAGAGAGTAAAATATACTTTTGGTTTAAAATTGTAAGGATTCAAGGATCTAAATTTGTGGGCCCAAGAGAGAGCCTCTCCCTCCACTCTTCTCACTCTTCTCATTCATCTAACCAAATAATGGAATTGTTCTCTCACTCTACTTCTCTCCCTCCACCTCTTTTCCTCCCCCATCTCTTCTTCCTACCAAACACATGAGTCTCAAAAAGGAATGTATGTGCGTGTCATATGATTTTCATTCTCCAGTGAGGACAAGTGCCCCTACTGATGGTAACATGGCTACGTGCCTTACAAGGTTTATAGTTTAAAGAGAATTTTTGTAATTAATTTGTTTTTAACTACGTTATTAAAGATCAGAGAGACAAAATCAGAAATAATTTTTGTAATTAATCTTTTTTTAACTACATTATTGACACCAATCCAATAATCTTTTTTTTATTTTCTTTTTCCAAACACGATTAAATATCTGGTAGTATCAGAGCTATAGTGCTTAATTTAGGATTAACTAGTTGTTATCACGTGTGTTGCGTGCACGATCCATTTAAAACAACAGTCGTCAAATTATTTTAAAAGAAGAAGATAATGACGTAAAAGAAAAAAGACGCGAGAAAAAGATCTTAAGCAAAAGACAAAAAAAAAAAAGAAGATTTTAAATTATTTTAATGTGTTTAAATCAATTCCATTTGATTTTGTTTAATCTGTTTTTACTTAATTTGGTGTGCTTTTATTTTATTTTAGTATATTTTTGTTAAATTTTATTTTTTATTGAATCATTTATAGCATTTTTATTTAAACAGTATCGTAAATTTAGTATGAAATCGCGTTAGACCGGATAAAATTAAACTACAAATAAGTCTAAAATTAATAAATAAATATAAAAAATAATAACAATTAGTGAATAAAACTAATTTTTTACCGTCGGATAAAAAATATGGACGATTCAGATGATACATTTTCCCTCTCTCCCTTTTTCTCTCTTTTCTCAAGCGAGTCCCACCACTCCCTCTCTTTCTTTCTCTCTTTCCCAGGCAGCTCTCTCTCTTTTCCCAGGCAGGCCCACCACTCCCCACTCCCTTTCTCTCTCTCTCGGCAAAAAAGTAGCTCCAGGAAAAAAAAATAACAAATAACAAAACGCACCTCTTAAGGAGGCTTCATTTCTACGGAAATGACCAAAACGCTCAAACAAAAAACAATGAAGGAATAAAAAGTTGATGGTAAAATAGTAAAAATAAAAGTAAAGGAATACACACGGAATTTTCTCAAACTTGTGGGAGAAAAAAGACCGGACACTGTTCAAAAAACAATAAAACCGGTGCCTATCATGCAAAATTTGACTAAAAGGAGGTAGTATTAGATAAAAACAACAGGAAGGTAGTTTCAACTTAATTTATATAAGTTTCATTTATTTCACTGATTTGAGTTTTGTTACAGTAAAAAACTCTCAGAAATAGTCACATTTAACTTTAAAAACTCTCACATAAAATTACATCTTAATTTAAATTAAAAATTTAAATTAACGAACTAAACATACCCTTAAATAGTTTATCGTGTGGTATTTTCTATCTGCACGGAGGTAGTTCAATCTAGATTTTACTACATTATTAACACTTGACATAAGGATATTCTCAATTAATATCATGCAAAATTTATGTGTTAACTGTGCATATGATGATCATCGTCATCACAATACAAAAAGGCAAATATGGGAGTTCTGTAACGGCCACGCTTTTTTTTCTTTTTTGAGACTTTTTTTTTTAATAACTCCAGCTAATTACAAAAATCTTTATGCGAAATGTGAATTTTATTTTATTACTTTATTTGAAAATTTTTATGCAAAAAGTTGTGATTATAAGCATAGTAATATCACATCTGACTACTCAATAATATGACGAGTTTGAATCCTTTCACTCTAAATTCAAAAAAATTAGAAATCAAATACCATAAAAAAAAACCCACATTTTTTTTAACAAAGAGAACAAATTACCGTTGTCAAGGTTTTCATTAGATCAGTCATCTAATCTAATGCCACCTTAAAGGGTATACTCAACGAGGTGTAGGAGCCTTTTCGACAATTAGCAAAATGACATAACATTAGGGCTTCGGCTTGGCAATTAATGGTTTTCCCACTGATTTAATTTGCATTTCCAAAAATATGGCATTGACAAAATGATCATTATGAAACAATGAGCGCGTTTAGAACTCGTTCTAAAATGATTTTATTTTTTGTATGAAAATGAAAATGAAAACGTTTTCAATCTCATGCAGAAATTATTTTTGAAAATGCATTTAGAAGTTTTATCAAGATATTATTTTCAGTGTAAAAAACCCATTAATGTCTCTGATTTTATTTTTTGTATGAAAATAAAAATGAAAACGTTTTCAATCTCATGCAGAAATTATTTTTGAAAATGCATTTAGAAGTTTTATCAAGATATTATTTTCAGTATAAAAAACCCATTAATGTCTCTATTTCTCTCTCTACTCAAGAGAGGAGAAAACGAAAACAAAAAATGAAAAATGACTAAAAATCGTTTTTCATTTCTCTCTCATTTTACACTAAACCAAAAAATACGTTTTCATTTTTTATTTTTATTGCGCCAAACGCCGTTTTAAAAACGTTTTTATTTTTTCTTTCTAAAAAAACGTGAAAAACAAAAACATGATCAATTTTAAACATGACCAATAATTTCCATAGCCTATATTCCCCCAGGAAAAAAAAAATCCATAGCCTATGTACACCGTCTATCCTTAGACTTTCTATAGTGGTATTTTTGCTACAAGAAAAATGGTAAGAAGGGATGTGAATACAGTTTCCATTTTATACTCATTAAGAATCCATACATTAAAAACAAACCAAATATTAAGATGTTCTCCAGTACACCAACATACCTATAAACCAAGTATTTTGTGCATCAGATCTACATAAAATCACGTAAAAGTTAAAAAATACGTAAATCTAACAGTTAAAAAACATGATTTACCGGTACGCTAAGCATATCAGAAAATCTTCCTTATTACATATGTCATCTTATTTATTTATTTTTTAAATGAGAAAACATAAAGATTGTGAGTGTAATCGAACCTACAACACTTATCCAAAGCCCTCCTCAATCTCTTCCCATGCCATTAGACAAAACGTGTTAGGCATTGAGAATACATGGATAAATCTTAATTGCTACTAATAATAATATAATATAATATTAGAAATCTCAATTTTTTTTAGCGTTGATGCAAGAAATTAGATCCTGACATTATATACAGCAAGTATAATCCATCACATAGAATGTTTAATAAGGTAATTCCTGCTTTCTATAAACGTACTAAAATAGAAATGTTATAAGAGCAAAGGTCAACTCTTGGGTATTAGCTACCTCCCATCGTGCCCCTTCGTGGTTAATGCACCTATAAAGACTTCGTTAATTTTATTAATTTGAGTTTTTAATTTTTAATTTTATTATAATTAAAAATTTTAATAAAAAATTATTTATAATTTTTTTTATTATAATTAAAAATTATCATATAAAATTACGTTTTAATTCAAATCAACAAACTAACAAAACTAAAAGTTAAAATTAGATTCAAAAATATATATATATATAGCAGTAAAAGAGAAAGGCCTTTAATCATGGATATTATAAAGCTGTAAAGGTTCCAAAAACCTAGCTCGCCGGAATATGCACCAATCGCACCATAATCACAAAGGCCAGTCCAAATTGTGCGGAAATCAGCCCCAAGCACGCTAGAATGACGGCACCCAATTCACATCCGGCCGGAATTTTAGAACCCAGCCCAACTCTTGCCGAAATTCGTGCTGAAATTCCATGACCTAATCCTAATCGCTCCAAAATCAGCCCTAACGACGCTAGAAATCGAGAGACCCAACCCCCAAATCGCAGGACCCAGCCAACATCGAGCCGGATTTTTGGGCCCCAGCCCCAGCTGAGTCGGAATCCGCACCGTTCGCGCCGGAATGCATGCCTAGGGTTGTCGCGACCCCTCTGCCTGCTTCAATCGCGCCTAAATTCGCACCCCTAGCATAGGAATCGCGTAACCCAGCATCGCGATGCTTGATTCCGCCAAAACATGCGAATCCCCGGAGTCCGGCGTCAAATCGTCATTCTCCTCTTCCACTAGTGAATCCAGTCACGATTCGTCTTCAGTTGGTACCTTGAGATGTTGCCCTCGTAGATCTCGCCCAGATCCCTCTTTGACCCTAAGTTTCGTCGCGTCTGTCCATTCTCCTGCCAGATCGTA